GATAACTTTGAGAAGATACTTCTCAAGGTGGTGTGGATTCAATCATGTCAACGAAATAGTCCTGATTGAAGCGTTACGTGGCGTAAAATGTTTTTAGCTTTTTGATTTGTTTAAGTTACAATTTGTTGTCCTCAATTTGGTACTTGTCCTCAGTAACTAAGTTCAACAGTACGTGACGAATATTAAAAGAAAGCTAAGCCGGAAAATTGAAAATACAAGAGCGCGTGCTTAAAAAATAAATAAATATCTCTTTTTTCGAGAAATTACTGGATTCTAGCGCGTGATTTAAAATCTTATAAAGGAGGAAATCAGTTCGTAGTAGTTGCTTGCTTAGTTTGTGTTGTTTAGAAAACTGCTCTGTTGATTGTGCGAATTCGCGTTAGCGTTCTTATGTTTTAATTACGTTTCTATTGGTATTTGAGTATTAAAAGATAACTACTGTGAGATTTGTAATATGCATGATAATTTGATTTAAGCATTTTTGTTGTGATAATAATAAATTTTTGTTCATTTTTCATCGGACTTGTGCATTCATTTCATAACGAACCCGTACGCACGCAACAATACTGTTAAGTGAATCTAGCGCCAGAGTGTCACTATGGTAAACAAATACTAGAGTGAATTTTAAAGAATGCATTTATTCTATTGTGGTTTATGCGCTGTCGGGGAAGTAGATTTAATTCAATCCAATAAGTTTAAATGAAATGCAAGAAAAAATGCGTATAATTTAATATTCCGTATAAGGAAGTCATGTGTTGTATACATCAGATTTTTTTCACTGTAAACGAGCAGGGGGAAAAAGTCATCGTTCATTATTTCAAATAATTTTAAGAAAGTGCGTAAGCACCATTTGACGTTATTATCGCTTAAAACAAATGTGCCAAATTTCAAAATGCGCCAATATGTAAATTTACATATATTCTAGGAAATTTTGAATAAGAAAACTCTTTTTTGCAGGTATGGTTAGAAATACGTTTACTTTAAGATGATGGTAAATCTTTTATAGGTTAATTCAAAACAATTTATAAAAATTACTTAAAAATAAATCATCAAAAATGGGTGAATTTTATTTGGAATGAACCTAAACTTCAAATTCTGGAAGAAAGAATCAAGTTAATTAAAAAATCTGATGTGTACACCACATGACTTCTTTGTACGGAATATTAAATTATACGCATTTTTTCTTGCATTTCATTTAAACTTAATGGATTGAATTAAATCTACTTCGCCGACAACGCATAAACCACAATAGAATAAATGCATTCTTTAAAATTCACTCTAATATTTGTTTACCATAACGACATTCTGGCGCTAGATTCATTTAACAGTATTATATTTCGTTCATATTATAACTCATAATGCACAAAATTTATATCATTTAAAGAATAGAATTATCTAATCGTTGCCACATGTTCTATTCAAATACTACAATAAAGCTAGAATGATCTATAAAGAAATTAAGCAAACAAAACAAAAAAGAAACAGTTTTTCACAGACGATTGAGTATTTCTCATTCAATTAATTCAGTTCTCACTTCGCGAGAAGGCAAAAAATACATAAACTCAAAATATATATAAAAAATTACGAAGTAAATTTTAATATGGTATTTATAAATTTTAATATAGAATTCCAGAAAGGATTAAGCATGATTTAATGGGCAATAATAAATAAGGCGTTATCTCGTTGTTGCGAAGCTAAGTTACTCTAGCTTGGCAACAAATCCACTAGTCTGCTGGTTTCAAATGTAACAATCAATGGCCGCCGTCAAAAGAAAAAGGCTGCGGCCTTAAACAACTTAAATTGTTGATAATTCTAAAAATATTGCACGCAGATTTACTAAAGGCATAAAAAACCTTAACCGGAAGTTAAAAAACAACATAATTCAATCATTTTTAAAGTGTATAATTTACAATATATAGAGTTAAGAAACTGAGATCACTGAGCCGGGTAACAAGTGGATATATATAAATTATTTATATACGTTTGGTGCGGCCGATGTAACCAAATACGAGGTGCACACACATTTATAGCAGTTCTATATACAAAATTTCACGTTCTGAGGTACTCGTTTTTGAGCTATGCGAGATACGTACGTACATACGTTCGTACAGACGCCACGAAAAATTCTCTTCAGAATTCCTTTTAAAGCAGTTTTTAAATTTTTTTGGAGGAAAACGAGTCTTTTATTCTGTCCGTACGTATCAGATACCCCGCAAGAGCATCGTTCAGATGGTTTTGAGAGTGGTTGAAATGGATATTTTCGTTGACATATGATACCCGAATGTTTTCGCGATTACAATACTTCCTTTTTACTTCGTACAAGGAAGTAAAAAGAGATCTTAATAAATATATATCAAATTCAATTAACATTGAGGAGCTAAAATTTTGAGAGCTAATACTTTAAAAATTCTCGTGCGATTTTTACAAAACATGGCAGTTTGGCATAATTTGAGTCGTAGAATCGAAATATGGAAAAAAAATTGACGTGTCATTTCAGAAAAAAAGTCCGCTTTTGTGTCAAAATGCCTATATTAGAACAATGCTATATATAAATCTAATACATATCCTAAGTCACGATTTAGAAACATGAAAAACGCAAGTTGAATTTCGTCAATCAGTACAGTAGAATGGGAGATTCAGAACTGTCTTTGCGCAGTTTACCTATTCCCAGTTCGATATACATCAGCATCTTTATAAATCAAAGATATTTATCTGATAGTTTTCCAAAGCATGAATGAATTAACGGATTCATTGATGGAAATGTCATTTTTTACATGAAATAGGACATAATGCTGCACTTTACATCTTTAGACCACTTTATGAAATACATAAAGCTCGAAGACCTTAAAATGTTTTCAGTCGACGTTAACAACCTTAACATTTAATTAAATAACTGGATAGGCATAAAAAAAGAATTCTTGATACCACAGTTGAAGATCCAAATTAAATAATTCATATCTGTTCTTAAGCTAAAAATATGAATTTAATTTTTTTTTTTTTTTTTTTTTTAACTTTTATGAGTTTTAAAGAAATATATGCCATTGTAAGTTCGTTGATTGAATTTTTCATTTACAGTTAGAAAAATTCTTACACTACTACAAAAGTTGATGAAATGTTGATTTAAAGCAATCAATAATTTGGGTTATAATAAAACGTCATTCAAAGTACTGTAGGAATCAAAATGAAAGATGATTTGGAAAACCGTCAAAGCTATCCCGTACGAAGCAGCGCAGTACTCTGATCAAATTAATTCGAAGACTAAGTAACTCTTAAACAGAACTCTTTACTCATAAAAAGTATATATTTATTTAGAAGCTATTAAAACAGTATTGCTGAATATAATGGCTGAATGGGAAGGAAAAAACTTTACGTTAGTTAAAGAATAGTTTTTTAATTATTATTATTTTATTTTTCTTTCTCAAAATCTATGGAAAATAAAGATTCTGAAATAAGGGCTAATAATTATTACAGGAAGAAATATTGACTTTTTGGGTGGGATGAGCAGTTTATCTTCTGAAGATAACACAATTTCATTTAGACAAATGGTCTAAAGCTAAACCTATGAATATGCGATTCTGACTATTCAATCTTCATATCCAAACTTTCTCCAATAGATTTTGGTAAGAACAAGACTATAGAATACGAAAATAAAGTATATTTTTGAAATAATAATAATAATGGCTCCAAAATAGGCCGAAAATCATTATAAAATTTTAGTAACTGAATTCATATCGAAAAGACTTGAACTATATTCTGAAGGCTACTAATAATACAACAAAACGATAAAAAATCAAATGATTTTTAATTTAAATAATTTCTTGTTTTTTATTTGATAGAACAGTAAATATCCGATCACTTTTGTGAACATTATTTTTAACAATATCATGAGATATATTATTTATATTCAATTTATAATCCATTACTTTTATGCATATAAACGTCCGATAAAGCAAATAAAAATTAAACGTCAGATGCAAAAATAATAACAAAAATAAATAAAAATGTGAAAGGTTTCAGATTTTAAATTTCGTCCAAAGGGGCTTTTTTTTAACATTTTGTCTGTTGCCTTTATTTATTAAATATCACATTCTTCGCACTTAAATAATAAAATTCAGTTCAAGAGCAATATCCCAAAATAGTTTTAAAATGAGCATATCCTTTAGAATTTCGGATACAGTCTCGCGCACTGGAGATAAAAATGTTTTTTCTGTACAACGTTGCCATTGCTCGCTTTGAAATCCTTGAGTTTGTTAATCAAAAATTCGTTAAAGCTTTACAAAATATGAAACTGATAATAAAACAAATTCCAAATTTCAAATTTGAGCTTCCACATGCCCATATTCGCAGTAGGATTACGTCATTCAAAACTCGATGGCATTATGTATCGTTGTTTTATCACAATGCGAGAAATATACATGCATTTATGGCGCTTTTTCATTATTTGATTTCTTCAAATATAATGCAGGACTCGTAACATTTGGTGGCAACAGTTTGAAGAGTGAAACGGACATTTAGAGTAAACCAATGCAATATGAAAACAATAGTCCTTCAGGGACAAAGCCCCTTTGGACTAATAATAATTTTATGCTGCAAACATTCAGATAGGTCTCTTAATAAAAGGCATCGGTGTCCAAACCACTTCTAGGAAATGCAATTATGATAAAAGAAAAAATTAATTTGTTAGTTAAAAATAATTATTAAAGTGCAACGCACATTGCTTGCCCTAAAACGTCATAGTAAATATAATTAATGTAAAAAAAATAAGGAATGAATAGAAACAATGCTTAAAACTTTCGCAAAGTTCCTCCATAAACGTAAGGCTCAGCTCTTTCCTTTTAGGAGCATTTAAATAGGCATGCATAATATTAAAAAATTCATCTGTTTATGTTTATTTTAAAATTTATAAATTTTTGTTTTTAAAATTTTAACTAATTTTTTCCTTTTATTTCTCTGTAACTGTTTTATATTTTTTTTACTAACTACTTTTCTGCTCATTTCAGCTCCACGGCCAGAAAATCTGGAAGAAGACAAAGTATGCACTTCCAAATCCACGGTTATTGCAACTGCAGTTTCCGTAACTCTTGTCTACCTTGGTGTAGTGGCAGGTGCCATAGTGGGTTACAGATGGCACAGAAAAAATAAGAGAAGAAAAGCGATGTCAACAAACCATCCTGTTCATTTTCCGCCAAATCCGACAAATGCAAATGTCACATATAGCACACCGGATGTGACGTTCAGGAATGTGTATGGAAACTTTCCAGTCAGCTCTACTTCAACAACATAATTTCTGAAGTATTGTCTCTAGTTCAGAATCTTGGAAAAATCTTCATCGAATAATCATGGGAAGAGAGATATGCAATTTAAACTCTAATAGATATTACCATATTAATATCTATTAAGTATAAACTGAGAAATTTGTGGACAGGTTCAAAAACAAACTGAAATTTAGTTACCTGTTCCACAAAATAATTGGTCATAAAAGAAGAACTTACTGAAATGAACGCTATGATATAAAATTTTAAAATCTCTCATCTGACAATGTGTAAACATGTTAGCTAGGTGTTAAAATATAGATGAGGGGGTAATATGATTCTTACCCCAGCTGATAAATCAAAAGACATACATTGTTTGCTTATGAATACATTTTTAGTTTTTAACACTAAACAATCAGCAGAATGTTCACAAGATGATGTGACCAACTGACAGGAAATGAAGAAAAGGCTCAAATTTATGAACTGCATATTTGTTGTCTTCCATGTTAAAGTCTTGCCTGTGTTTGGAAATTGGATAAAAGAACTTTTATTTAAGATAAATGACTGCTATTTACAACAGTAAATTCTCCATTCATTCTTATCCACAATGTAAATTATTATTATTCCTGAGAAATAAGCTATCTATGATATTTATACAACATAATAAATATTTAATGGCAAATACAATAAACGAAAGAATAAGGCACACAAAACATAAATCGCAAAATAATTTTGACAAAAACACACTTCTAAAGAATTAAATATAATTTTACTAAAATATTTGTTACTTCAAAAAAGTCCCTATTTCTTTATACTTTTGTTTCCAGTTCAACTTTATCCAAACAGAATTTTATTATTACACTCTTAATATACAGATAATTTCCGTTTCTTAGGAGAATCATAATCCACCAGGATTGCACATATATCCCATTTTACTAAAAAATTCATTCTAAAACAATACCAAATATTTTTTGTACTTTTGATTATTTTTTACTTGTATTTTTCTTTCACTTCTCTATCTCACATTAAACTTTTATTAGCAAATTGCACGCTTTTTTACCATTTACAGAACAGTTTTGATTTCTAATGTTGAAAAATACTAACATTTCAATTCTTTCTGATTTAAACTTTTAGAAGACAATTTCATTTACGATACGTAATTAATATAATGTTCTCCTTTTTTCCCCTTTGTTTCTTTCAACTCAAATTTTGTCCTACATTTTCTTCCTCAAAAGTCTGGAATTTAGAAATCTAATGAAGTTAAATAAAGAGTAACCAAAAGTCAGATTTCCAAAAATGTTTTTAAAATGCTGAAGACTTCTACAAAACATTTATGTATAAATATTAAAATCATTTCTGACTAGAACTCTTACTTTTTTATAATCGCACTTAATCTCCCATGTTCATATAGCAGATAAAGATGTTTTCAAGATTCTCAAATTATTTGATGCCAGATACAAAGACAAAAGACCATACTGCTGTTTTCCCATATTGGTGTCATGGCAGTTTAAGGTGTTATGGAGCTTGGGTTATTAAAAAAAAAAAAAAAAAAAAAAAATACAGCTTTAGTTTATTGCATCTAATTTGCTTCTAATTGAACTTAAAACTGGAATCAAGCCTTATGTTCTTTTCTATGCTTTAATCATATACGACTGTGGTATAGCTCTCACTGAGAGGAAATTTCATTAACAGTATACGTGATAACTTTTGCTGGAATACTGGTTCTTGTAATTTCAAGTCTCAATAAAATTAGTACTGTTTATTTTTATATTCTTTGTTAAAAAAGTATGTTAAGTACAATTCAGATCACACATACAATATAATGCAAAAACAAAATGCCCTTCAGCTTGTAGTATAACTTTACAACCTTATATTGCATATTAGGCCATATAAAAAGTCTCTGCAGTTTTTGGTACATTTTTGAACAAAAATTTTCTTTATTGAAAATCAGTTTTAATCAAGTATACTATATTCACCATTATTATCTATGGTCTTTTACAATTTTTTGGGTAGCTTCATAATTCCATCAGTGTAGAACTTCTGTGCTTTTGTCAGAAAACTTGGCCAAGTGATTTTCAGCGGTGCTTCGGTAGGCCAATTTTTTACCATTGAGAGAGTTTTGCAGACACCAAAACAAATGGTATGGTTCGGGCTATACAGTGGATGCATGAAATTGCACTCTCTCCAAACACTCAACATAACCTTCTATGGTGATAATCCAGGCTTTGAAGTCATTTGTGAAGGGTCACTAGCCTTTAAACATGATGGCTTGCATTTCAAATTCTCGTATTTCCACCCATTTTTCATCACCTGAAATGATTCGCTTTAAAAATGGTTCAATTTCATTGCGTTTCTGCAGCATTTCCCTGATGGCAATTCTTTGTGTTAATTCATGTGGCACCCAAACATCGAGCTTCTTTTTGTAGCTTGCTCTTTTCAAATGATTCCAAACTGTTATGTGGTTGATGTTTAGTGCCTATGCTATTTCCTGACAGCTCTCATGCTGGTCTTGCTCCTCCAGTTGTAAAATTTTATTGACTATTTCAGTGACTGGCCGACCAGAGTGAGGTGCATTTCTGACAACAAAAGTTCTGGAAGGGAATTGAGCGAACCACCTCCTTCGTTCACTCACCGTACACTTCACAATTTTTTTTTACATGTTTTTACCTTTTTTATAGTAAAAAAGCGTCACATATCGTATTTCTACAGATATTTCACTCATTTTCTAATAAGTATAACTTTTTACAAGAGCAACAAATTAGAAAACTATCTTCACAAACAATGGAAGCTGAATGTCACCTTTTAAGCACATGTTTATTTCAGACGATCAGGTGAGTGCTGCCAGATATATAGGCATCAACACCATTTAGTAGCAAAAAACCGCAAAGACCTTTTATATGACCCAATATATATCTCCTTAAAAACCTGGAAACAATATATCTATCTATTGGAATATTACATATTTCCTTTAAAGTAATGAATAAGTAAATAAAGCTGTGATTTCCATGCATGGATAAATTTGACTTCTCAAAGGACACGACACCAACCAACCAATCAACCAAGTAAATAGAAATTCAAGATGTAGAACGTAAAAACGTATATTTAAAATAAGCAGTACAAAATATGAAGGCAAAACGACAGGAAAAAATGGTATGATATTATTTTATCGAAAATAAACGCCAGGTGGAAACTGGTATGCCTTTTTTATAAACAAAAGATTTCATTAATATCCCTTCTTAACAAAATTTTCAAGCATCACAGAAGTTTGTTTTATTTGTATCTTTAAACAGCAATGGTAATTACCAATAAGATGCTGAAGAAAATTATGCATAAACATTGATACTGAAACTTATTAATAAACTTAGCATAGCTTAGTATGGTGCTACATAAATTAACCACTCTGATGAATCTGATATATGATATTTGTACAATCAACAATATAATTTGAGCCTCAATATCTCAATATTTTAACAATTTTTAATGTTTTTTTTTTTTTTTTTAGTTGAACAATCTTGCAACTATTATAAATTGAAAATTCTGAATAATTGTAAGAGCTTCAATACAACATTGTTAATTGTGAATTTCACAAATTAATTGCTAATTTCAATTCCAGTTTTAAAGAAATTAAATTAAGATTCAAGTCTTTTTTTTTCCCCCGTTGAGACAAAAATCTGCCTTAGATTAAAGAAAAGTTGGAAACAAAGAAGTTTGTTTTTCAGTATAAATAATAAATTAGCTTTATTGATTAATAAACAGACATTTTCCCATTGCTCTGCAAGCATTAGACAGCACTGCAATTGATGCATTTCAACGAGTTTGTAATGGAAATGCTGTAGCTTCTAACAATAATATTCAGTGTTGATGCTGGTAGTCTGGCAAATGCAGCTTCTGAAGAACTATTTCAAATGAGTCCCAACCAACCCAAACCATGACTTTCAACAGATAGTTCCTTGTTTTAGCTGAGGCCTAAACTGTTAGCTCTTCCAGTTTTAAGTGCAGAAATAAAACAACAGAGAAACAGTAGCTTTTGATGACCAATAATCAGTGGCTAGATCAAGCTAAATGCATGCAGATGGTCAATCACAATGGTATTCTGCTGCTGAAAAATCTCTGAAAACTTACATAGAATTACATGCTGAACTTTCGCTATCTAGAATTACATGCTGATTTTCTAAAAGAAACTGGCTCATAGTCACATTACACAAGAGGAAAATTATGAAAAATACCCATGCAGTCAATCGTTCACCTAGGTTCAAACATGGTTTGCATTATTAGTATTCAGTGTTTTTACCATCTAACCACTAGTGGCGATGTATAGAAATACACAGTTGGCCTGATTTTTCTTACCCTTTATTTTGTTTTTATATATAAATAGAAATACATTAAAAAAATATTAACAGACAATGTTGGCTGTTAAGTCCATTCTGTTTTTTAAATGTACATTCAGCAAAACAAAATATAGTACATTAACCTTCAGGAATGCTTTAAATTTCACCTCTGCCATTCATTCTTTTGCTGTTTTTCATCCTGTAATAAAATAGCAGGTAAGCAAAATTTACATTAAAAGTAATATGCATCATTAAAGTACATAACAAAAGTTGATAATGAAAGTAAGAAAATTAATTTTCACTTTTAAAATTCTATAAAAATTTCCATTTAAGAAGCACATATCTAAGGTTGTACTTAATTCTTAGAATCCATACCTAAGCTCTAATGAGATTAACTTCCTGCTGCAGGACATAAATACTTTGCATAGTTCTCATATTTTTATTATGGTTTTCAGTAGCAAAATTTACTGAATTTTGTCTCTCTCAAGTTTTGTCAAAGTTCATTTAAATTCCTATACCTCAGCTGCCCCATATGCTAATGATACAATATAATAAGAAACAGCTTTGAAGTCATTTATATACACATTTTATCCTAGATCTAAATAAAAACAAATCATTTAAAGCCACATTTATATACCTCAAAGAATCCCAAATATTTTATCTACTGGCAAATATAAAGGACTTCTGGAATTCCTTAGGTTTAAAATTAAGAAAAAATTTACACTTGTTCGATTATCTTCAGAATAACAGATAGATTTTATCAAAATTTGGTTTTAAAACATGGATTGATACAATACAAAAATTAATAAAGCAACAGTCATGGAATTCTCACACATGATCATGCCTAAGTCCCATTGGTGCAAGAATGTCTAAAACAAAGACTGCAAGACTGATCCCCCCCCCAAAAAAGAGGTTAATTTTAAATACACAACCTGACAGAGAAAATGCATTACTAAGTAAATGTGGTTGTAAAATCATTCAGATTAGAAAGTATACATAGCTTCACAATTTACATATATGTTGTTAAATGCAAGTTAGTGAGATAAAAAGAAAGAAAATGTCAGATGAGCTGACAGCTGCTACTCTCTCTTGGAAAGCCACTTTTTTAGGAGTTTTTCATCTTGAAAGATATATGTAGTTGAACAAATGTTTGGCAAATGCCACCAAAAGCAGTTTAGGCAGTCAAGCACATTCATCAGGAGTTTCATTTTAGGCCTACAAATGGCTGATTGGTCCTTCAGTCCTATCACAAATGAAATACATAACTACTTGTAGAAAGGATTATTGTAGAAAGGATGCAGAGGATTTAGAAGAGACAGATTGATGAAAGGAATGTGAATTATACCAGAGATATTGATGCATCTAGATGGATGCCGGGGTATGTGTATCAATACATCTGAGGATATGTAGTGGTGGCACCCCAAAGCACTACTGTCAAAATCATGCAGAATGTGCAGGGAGATTTGGAAGTTGTAATATCAGCAAGAAGGATTTCTATATGATTGGTCGAAAGCAGCTTGCAGTCATGCTATTCTTTACAAACATTGCTAATGACACAAGCCACATATGCCAATGACTGCAGTGGTAATAATGAGACAGATGGTGGATGACCCAGGATGACTGAACCATGTAGGACGGATTACAGTGATGGACTGAATGGCACAGGTAGATGTACAATGATGAGTTTGGCTCCTAGCTTCAGTGATGAGTTTGGCTCTTTGGTTCATCAATGGGATGTCAAGCAATAGTCTAGAGGTAGATTGTGACAAGTTCAGTCCTGCTCTGACTTTTGAATAACACTGAATTCTCATTTAGGGCATCATTGCCATGTTCTGTTCATGCCATAAGAGGCACAATGACAGTCTGTGGGGTAAGTGCCGCAGCCAGTTACTATTTACTACTTTTAGCAAATGCAGAATATTGTACTTCTGCAAGACAACATTTGACCATACACACTGAAAAATAAGCCCTTATGACACCTAGATGTTTCTTTGGCCACCTAGGTTTTCACTAACTCTTTTATGGTTTTCTCTCTGCTAGGCAGTATATCATTCACATATAATCATCTAAATTTCCAATTTTTTAATAAGTTCTTGAGCAAAATTTTTAAAATGATAGCTTTTATAATACCTGTTATCATTAAAACTGATTTCATGATCTATTAACAACCCAAACCTGAAATAACTGGAAATAATTTTTGAAGACTTTACCTTTCTTGAAGTCATCGAAAAATTTTTTTGCTATGCGCCACTTTCTCATAAACTTCACTTTTTTTTTTTGTTTACTAAATATGTTAACATTTGCTTATTGTAATTTCAATTTCAGTTAAGCAAAGAAATTTTAATGGGAAAAGAACAAAATACATATCCAGGTACAGGTAGAAATGGGCAGAGCACTAAAATTTAACTATTGGTTGTACAGATAGAGTTCCAACTCAGTAACTGTACACTCTGTCCCAATTTCGATGGAGAACACTCAAAGGAACAGATCTCAGATCCTCTACTGTGTCCAAACCACTTGAAAGGACTTTTCTCTCACCATTTTTTTTAAGCTCTTCCATGCCACACAGATACTATACACTTATCAACACTCATGCATTCTTCGATATTCAAACCTGAGATCAATGATATGGTAGCCAGTATTAATAACTACTGTACTAATAAGGACAGCAGATTACATGAGTAATGGATTAAGAATTTATTACTATTTTAATTATAAATTATGAATTTTTATATATTTCATAATTCTGTATTTATTCTTTTAAAATAAACTTTTAAGAATTTATTTTGCCTAATGCCTCTGTTTTTACTGACCATTTTAAAATGTAACTCCAAAAATATAATTAGAATTTTAAAACAGTCAGACAAACGAATAATTAATGTATCCGAATGTAAAATATTATGCATATTTTCTTGGTCAGCACATTAGTTAAAGTATATTCTAATTTCTATACTGCATTCTATCAGTTCCACTGTGTTCTCTCATTAACAGAGCAGTAATGCACAAAGTCACCTTAACCCCTTAACAGTCGCATAATTTTCAAGAAAACGATCATAAATGTGCCTATATTTTAAATTCACGAAAATTGTATAAAAATAAGTGTTATGTACAATATATGTATTCATTTTTAATTTTTGGATTTTTTTAGCTTGAAATTTAAAAAAAATAATATTTTTTTACGAAAAGCCAACATTTAGGGTTACTGTGACTAAATGTTGGTTTTCCAGTACGCCAAGAAAATTTAAGAAATACGTGTTTTAAATATTAAAAGAGAATTTTATTAAACTTACTCATAATATAAATAAAGATGACTAATTTTTTGTTGAGTGATAAATTTCAAAGCATGTGAAGATGCATGTGAACCAGATTGACGTGATGTGAATCAAAGCATGTGAACCAGTGGGATTCAAAGCATGTGGACAGTAGTACTGAGTTTCCTTCTTATATCTCTTATTGTTTTCATCTCTTCTGAGACAACAAACTCTGCATTCTCTTCATGGTTGCCGTTTCTTATCAGTTGGGGGTAACTGTCTAATAAAATGCCTTTCAATCAAAAACGGTTTGGATTATCCTCTAGGTTTGGCCAGCCTCTTATTTGGAATAGTGTCTGATGACTGATACATTTCAATAAGTTCATCTACTAAAGATAAACAAAACATCAAATGGGATTTTTTTCCCACCTTGTTTTTGATAAACAAGATATGAGTTCAAAATAGCCTGATCTAACAAATGAAAAAATATTTTCTTATAATAGTTTTTTACTCTTTTGCAAGCAATAGAGTAATCTCCAAGATATTGGTCTACAGTATCTACTGCTCCGACATTTTTCTTGAAATCTGTTACAACTGTAGGTTTGGACTGTAGATAGCATGTTATCATCTTTCTTATCTTTCCACTTCATGGCAAGAACTTTACTTGTTCTCATTAATGACGAAAAGTTACATTTTCACCCTTTGTGATTCTCTTTTTTACGAATTCTTGAGGCGTTTCTTTTCGGTTTAGTTTTACAGTTCCATAAGTGTCTGCTTGAAATTTTAAAAGCGTGTCTGCTAATTCTGGTGAAGTATAAAAATTGGCTGTTATCAGAAAATATTCTTAGAGCTTGATAAATGACATCAAAACTTGAATTGATTGGGACAGACCTTTATATTTTGCATCAAAAACAATACCTTTCCAGTATATGTAATTTGTGACCATATATACCCTGAACTTGATTCACATAACAAATATGATTTTACTCCAAAATGGGATCTCTTTTTTGGCATATATTGTCGCCATCCTAAAGGACCTTTGAAGAACATGAGGCTTTCATCAATTACAATATCACATTCCAGGAGTTACAGCTCTTTGAAACAATTCATTCAGGTGCTCTGACACTGGCCAGATTTTATACAGCTTAGGATTTGGATGTGTGCTACAATCAAAAGTTTCATTATCTACAAAATACATAAACTTGTGTATTTCATAAAATGTATTACAAGGCATTATGCTTCTGAAAATAGGTGTTGAATGTTTTTTGCTCCAATACATTTTTATATCCGGTTTTCTTACAATACATTGTAAAATAACTATACTGAGAAATTTAACAATTTCTTCCTTTGTGACAGGTATCCGAGGTCTTCTATTTTGGATAGGTGGAATCCTGGAGAATTTTGGCATCGTTCAGCATATCTATTTGTTTCCGAAATGATAAGATCCACTAAATTGCCATCTACAAAATACTCAAAATATTGTAAGACACCAAAATGTGGATCAAAATTTGTATTTACCTTTGGTGTTCCCAAAAATTTAAAACACGAGGGTGCATGATCTACTAAAGTAAATACAATTTTAGTCCATGCTCATCCAGACAACAATAGTCCATCATCACTGCTCTCCGATTCACTAACCATGTAGAGACATCAAGTTTTTTTGAAAGCAAGAGAGATGAAAATGAATAATCACCTTCGACAGGAATCCAGCCACGGACCTCTGGAATACTGACCTAGTGTGCAGAACCACTACACCACGAAGGCACGCTAGGAAGGCGGGAGTAATACCTTATATACTCCCCCTTTTAAAGGGCGACTGGGGTTTTTAAGGGACCCAATCACCAAATCCTGGGTGAGGAGAATCATGATACACCACCCTTTTTAGTTCAGGTGCCACTGTAGAGACATTAGGTATTTTTTGGAAGCCAGAGAGATGAAAAATTAGCAATGCCTTCACCGGGAATTGAACCACGGACCTCTGGAATGCCAGCCCAGAGTGCAGAACCACTACACCATGAAGACATGCTAGGAAAGCGGGAGAAATACCTTATAACCAAACTTTCATAAAAATTAGTTACTTCAGAATCACTCTCAGATCCATTTATACTAAAAATCAGAATCCAATTCACTGCCTGACTCACTCCATAATTTACAGAATATTAAAAAATAAGTATATTTTATCACAGAACAGAAACCACTTGCATTCACAAAGAGACTAACTAAGTAACTGGGCTAATACTAAGATTACAAAATACATATCTTAAATACACGTTTGATTAGTGCTGATATCTAGTTTACAATATACTCCTTATCTCTAATTGCATAAAAAATACTGTTCTGATACTGCCATCTCGTGTGTGAAATGAGGAATAAAACTTTTTCCGGGCAAAAGAAATGAATAGGTTTTAAATCTTTTCGGCACGTTGCTTTTAAACACTCCAGCCTGGAAATATAATGGGCACGAGAAATAGAGGGAGAAACCTCACCCCGTTTTTTTGACGGGAGCAAAAAGGAAGCGGTTAAGAAGAAAAAACATTTTCTTAAGAAAACTTCTTCACCCTAGCAGCAAAAACAATTCGTATCAAGAACCTGCTAATAAACAGAAAATTCTTTCACATGAAAATGAATCTCATGAAAACATTTACAAACACAAAGCTAACAAATGATTTACACATCACTGAGAAAAATTTCATCTTTTATCAGTAAATAAGGTTTAAAAAAAAAAGTAACTTCATTGGAGCAAACATAATAAAATCTGCAATAGCATGGCTGCCAACCTTGAAATACAAAATATCAGAAGGTTCACCCGTAAAAAACCAGGAATTTTCTGGATATTTTTTAGTTATGAAGTAGCACCATTTTAAAAGAGCTGAAACTCGATTAAAATTCGCTTTATAATTCACAATTCAATTTATTCAACTATTTATGCAGAGGCTGTTCGCAGATTTTTTAGACGATTTTCATTGTATTTACAGAAACATTTTACCTAACATTTTTTTTTTTTTTTTTGTTTTAAATGTTTCATTTGATAAACCTTATTCTTCACTATCTTCCTACACCATAATTTCAAGACATTAAAAGCCTTTTGTAGTATTAGATAAGGTATTTTATCCTATTCCTCTTGAAGAGCTATCAAAGCCCAAGAACAGCTTGCTTTTTCAAAGTCCAAAAATGCAAAAATCATGGGTAAAAACTTCAGGAAATTTAATAGGAATATGAGTGAAGTGTATGGCCTTGATATCCGTTTCTTGTTCCATTTGTTCCAGGAAATTAACAGTGGATTTTGAGGTGTGGCTGGTTTGCTTTGTCTTGATGCAGTTCTACTGATTAATGGCACTGTTGGTTGAGAAGGTTTTTCATATTTGAAAACTGAGCACAAATTATGCTCATGATAATATGTAGAATTGATTTAAAATTTGTCTCCACTCTGTTTTTAATTTGCGTTATATGCAAAACCAGTAACAATCATAAATGCCTTTGCAAAACTTTTAGATTCTTTTAACCATGTTTCAAGATTTTTTTCTCCTCCTTGTTAACAATAAATGGATATCTTTTTATTGCAGTCATTTAAATACAACCAAGATTCATTTACTGTGACAACATTTTTGTCCGGATAAATGATTCTCAAAAAGAATTCTGCAGTGCATTCTGTGTTCGGTGATATGTCATGGAAAAAGACGATGTCTATTATGATTTTTCATCTCCTGCTTCCAAAAAATTAAAAAAATCACAGTGGTACAAACAAAAATAGCACACAGTGGCACACAAAATTTACTGTGGCAAAAATTAAAATGTGGTAGATGATAATTCATTATGACCAGGAACTGGCAACTAAGTCTAAAGAACACAGTGCTTTTGAGGCTCCCAAGTACATCTGGATAGCAATCACAAAGTCCAGAGTCTGAATCTCAGTGAAGTCACTGCATATTTTTCGTACCTTCTGTTCAGAAATGGACTTAATGGCTCTACATATTGGTTAAAACAAAATTAAATACAAATTTTTACTGATTAAACATTTGGTTGATACTCATATAAGATTTCATAAATATCACGACAATTAAGATCAAGTAAAATTGCTAAGAAAATTATGCTGAAGTTCACTAGGGATGGGGAAATGAAATTTGCACAATTTTAAGCTTCATTAATTCAATAATAAAACTTAAACTGCCACATTTTATTTTCTCATATTGATTTCATAACTTGTTGAGACATTAGGTCATTTTGAAGCATGAGATGAAAAATGAGCAATGCCCTCGCTGACACTCGAACCACAGATCTCCCGAATATGCATCAAGTGTGCATGACCACTACACCACGAAGGCATGCTAAGGTGGGAGAAATGCCTTTACTCCCCCTTTTAAAGGGTGATTGGAAATTAAGAGGCCCATTTTCCAAATCCTGGTGGTGGAGAATCATCATCCACCACTTTTTTTAATTCGGGAGCCATTGTAGAGACACTAATTAGGTTTATTTCGAAGCAGGAGACATGAAAAATGAGCAATGCCCTCGCTGGGACTCGAAACACAGACCTCTCGAATATGCATCGAGCATGCTAACCACCACACACCATGAAGGCATGCTAAGAAGGTGGGAGAAATATTTTATAAACTGTAAAACATTTTCTTTGGTAAAGGCTAAAAATTAAAAACCAGGAGATTTGGTTATCTACCAACAGACTTGGAGATGTGTCAAAAACCTGGGAGTCTCCCAATAAAACCAGGAGAGCTGGCAGCTGTGCAACATATTAAAACTTGCTATGAAGATGAAACGGAAATTTAAATTAAAGAATGCCATTAAGTTTCTCGGATTTTAACAAAAATGATACTGATTATCCGTGCAAATCTGAAATTGCTGAAATTTAAATTTTCAGGCTATTCAATGAGCATCAAACCTCTCTTTTTGAAGACACACTCAAATGGAAAATTATTTGGTAAATCACCATGTAAGTACTTGTTAAATAAATATTTATGTGCCCATATGTCCTAACTGTACCATTTATATCAAATTCTCAAAGCAACAATTAAAAGTTTCCCCCACACACGCGCATAAACTTTCTAGAACTGAACAGTTGTGAATAAGTGCTTCAACAACACACATAATAATGACATGGAAAAGAAAAGTTTTTGTTATTGCATATGATAAAAGAAGTTAAGTTTGCTGTGAAAGGAAAGACATTCCTTAGCGCCATGCAGTCCTAGCTTTCAAATCCTGTCTGAATATCTATCATTAGTAAATATGCTTGTATATTTAATGCTAAACAATAAGGTTAGTTGAGTTAAATAAAGTTATTAACTGAATTAAGATGATAATTGAACATTGAAATTTCAGTTACTTTAAAAAATAAAAACAATGTTATCTGTACTGATGCAAAACTACTATAAAATTTAATGCCTTTGTTATTAAATTAATAAAGGCAAAATAATAATAATAATAAGCTGAAATCAAATGATTTTTTGTTAACTCAGCAGAAAAGCAAAATTTCCTCACTTAAAATAAATTCATTTAAAATTGCAGGGGGGGAATCAAATAAACAATTTTATAACAATGAGGAACAAATCAAACTAATTTCATTAAACATCCAATTGAATATTATGTTTTTGACAACAAATGCCACATAACTTATAAGCAATTCATACATTATAGCAAAACAATACATTACACTTTTTTGGCTTAAAATTACATCCTTCAGAATTAGATATCCAACAGGAGCAAAAGCATCATTTGAGTGTATAATAATTTCTTTATCTCTTCTGGAAAAAAAAAAAAAAAAAAAAGTGTTAGGAATATCATATGCAGTTTTCCATTTTATACAATGCAAAATGTAAATACATAGTTTTACAATACATGATATTAATAACAAACAGGTAATCATTAAAATCCACTTTTTTAAATACTATTCATACTCCTTAATTTTTCTTCAAATATGAGATACATATTAAAAAAAGGATATTTACAAAAAGCATTCTCTAAGAAACATTACAGCTATTACAATCTCAAAAACGTGGCTAATAATTAATGCTGAGAATGTCATACATAAATTTCAAACCAAAATAAGTAAAAAGTATGCTTTAACAAAATAGCAGAAACTTCATATAAATTTCTTGAATTATATGAATTATAGCAGAAACTTCATATAAATTTCTTAATTAATTACATAAAAACAAAATCTTCATATAAATTTTGAATATTTACATATTTCATTAACTATAAAATATTAGTTTAAAAACTTAGAAAACACCTTTGAGCAACAAACTTTTAAAGATTTTAATTTCATTTTAGTTAATGAATTTCAATTGCAGGGCTATAATATTTCTGTCAGTCAGAAATGGGATAATGAGACTGCATACCCAAACGAGGGTTAATCATGAGAAAGAAAGTTGACAGAAAATATTTCACAATGTTGAACTTATCATTCTTTTTTATTAATAGAACTCATATAAAAATTTAGTAATAGTCATCTTATCAGATATGAATCATAATTCACAATAAAGGCATTATGACTATCTCTTTATTTGAAGTTATCTAACCTAACATGTTGGCCTGACTATACCATATCATACAATTTCTCACATTTCATGACTCAAGTTTTGTATCGCGATTTAGAATAACTTTTATTTTCTCAGTACTTTCACCTTTAGTTCACAAAGAAAAATATTCTTTTAGCATGAGTATTTTCATACATTTCGGAAAAATTCAGCTACAGGAATGTTATTTCTAATTCCCCCATTCAACTGTCCCATAGTTTTCATAATTCTCTGAATACCACCAATGTGAACTGAACAATTTGGAAAATCTTATTCTACAGTTATACTGGCATTCATGATAATTCACTAATAAATGATTCCAGGTTTAATATCAATAATTTACGACTGCCTAATAAAATTTATTTATAGCTTTCATTAAAAATGGAACAAAGTTGTTGTTCTGCCTTTGGTAGATAGGCGATGTTCTCGCTGCATACTAAGAAAAATATAAAAATAACTTGATGCTTGAATTTTGTAGAACTTAACTGATGCTTGAAATTTGTAGAATGAGCTAGTGTAAAATATTCGATAAGATTATCATGGCTACAGCTATATGCAGAAATTAAGTAGAACATATTGAATTTCGTTAATAAAATGTTGTTTTGTGCCATTAAGTCAACTATCTTGTGGACTCTAATCTACATTAATGATCATTCCCATCAATTCAAGACGAATTTTGACTAACGCTATAAGCTCTCCTAATTTGAACATGGAAAAATCTTGAATCATCACATAACATTACATTTGGGATCAGAAACCAGGAAATTGGATTACTTATTAAAAGGTAAGAAAATGTGAACTATTTGTATGAAAGCATATAGATCCCTGGAAAATAATTAAAAATGGCTGTTTCTGAAAAGGTAAAAACAGAACTTGAAAAACTAAAATCGAAATGTTCTTCATTAAAAGCTGAAGTAACAAAAACCTTAACTAAAGTTTAACATTTGCTTTCGATTTCTGATCAAAATCAACAAAATATCCTGGAATTGAATGAATCCTTGGAGATTTTAATTGACAAGCACGATTCCTTAAAGCAGCTTGATAAAGAAATCAATACTCATATTACTGATATCATTGACTATCAAAAGAAGTATAAATTAAGAAGATAATGAAAAATTAATTTACAGTAAATTGAAAATTTCTAATTGTATTAAAAATTATGATAAAAAATGTGACAAAACAAATACTGATGATAACACCACACATCATGTTGTTTTGAACGTTCCTAGTGTTTCTATAAAACTTCCTAAACTGTCTCTTAAAAAGATTTCTGGTGATTCTAGTAAGTGGCTAGAATTTTTTAAGGCAATTCATAAAAATTGAAAACTCAGTTCATAAAAATCCAACTCTAACAAAAGCAAAAAAATTTATATACTTAAAATCTTTGCTCATTGGACAAGCAATAATTGTCTCTCTGGTTTCTGTTTGACTGAAGATAACTACGATAATTGTTTAACATTACTTAAAGAAAGATCTGGATGGAAGGATTTAGTCATAAACAGCCACATGAATATGCTATTGAATTTAGAACCTGTTAGATATTCAAACAATATTTATGCATTGTGCAAACTTAATGATCAGCTCAAAATAACTATACGGAATTTGAATTATCCTAACATAACAAGTGATATATATGGGCATTTATTAAATTCGATAATTTTAAAATTATTTCCACAAGATTTGTAATTAGACTTTCGAAGAAAATGCACTTTTAAAGAAAATTATAAAATAACCGAAATTATTGAGTTCATAAAAAATGAAATCGAGTCTCGCGAAGCCACTTCTTCCATAAATAATCTATGAAGTATAAAAATAACAAAAAAATTTATTAAAAATCAGCCATCACTTAGAACAAAAAACACTTGTTATGATAATCCTAAATCACAAGTCTCTGCTTTTAACACATGAGTAAAAATATTTTGTCTATTCTGCAAATCAAACAAACATACATGTTTCAAATTTTCTGATGAATAGAAATGGAATAAATTAAAAGAGGAAGGTTGTTGTTACAAATGCTTTCTAAAATCATATTTGTCATCAGATTGCTGGTCAAAAATACAGCCATGTAAAAATTGTAATTAGAAATATTATTAAAAAAACTTTTTTGCCATTCCAAATCAAAAGAAATGAAGGATGTCAAGACTGAAGCTACGAAAAATAAAATTTTTGTATCTATTTCCCACTGTAATACTCTGAAACCTGAAAACAGTGTTCTTTTACCGATATGTTCTGTTGTTGCTCAAAATAAAAATAAACTGAGAATTTTAAGATTATTAATTGACTCGGGTAGCGAAAGAAATTACCCACAAATTCATGTGCGATTTAGAATTATAAGGAATTAGAAAAGAATGTTTAACAATTTATTCGTTTGGAACTCAGTGTGGTGACTCACAAGAATTTGACATATATGTTGAATTTGGCGACCAGCTGGTAATCTGCTGTTAAAATTAGTAATAAATTATAATCTATTGTAATTTAATTATTTTTAGACATATTTTAGTACTTTATTTTATTTATTTAATTTCTTACAATGTGTATCATTTTCATTATAAAATTTTACTGTTGATAATAATGAAACTAAAATGTATATTTAACAGTCAGTGGCATCTTAGAGTAAAAGAAATATAGAGGAATACAAGAAATACAAAAGTATAAAAGAAATATAATATAAAACAAATACAAGTATAAAAGAAATATAGATATAAAATATACAAGTGTAAAAGAAATATAGAAATGTAAAAGAAGTACAATAGTACCATGTACTAAATGACATCAAAATAGTGTTTAACAAGCATTAAAATTTGTGGCATAATATCGCAATAATTTGATGAATGTCTAAATCTTCCAACAAAACCACATGTGCAGCAGAGTAGACATAACCAATGCTATCATTATTTTCCATTAGTTTCTAACAACTAAATTATTTACTTTCAGATTCCTACTGGCAAATGGCCTGTTAGACTGAAGGCCACTTTCTGCTGATTTTGACATGTTTTGAAGTTATTAAATCAGACCTTCATTTATAAGCTTTCTTAGCTTAGTTGACAAAACACTGATGACCTTTTTCAATGGTTTTTAACTGCTTCTCACCAAGTTAATAAAATCTGTTATAAACGTGTTCCTTTGTTCTCTCAGTCATGACTGCAGAAATAAAAATTTAAAACGATATGGGATACATTGCTGCAAATATACATTAGGAAAATACGGTACAGGTAAAAAAACCATATAAGCACACTAAGCTTCTAAGGTAATAATAACTTAATATGGTGAAATCCCAGACTTCATACTATTCTGCAAAGTAAAGGGGGGGGGATTTCGTAGCTTTGGATCAGACCTTGTATATTTCTGATGCATGAACACATATTATTGGGGAAAAAATTATAAAGTCTTATCTGCAAAAGGTAAAAATATGGATCACCATTTAAAGTTACATGCTGCAATACACATGTTACATGATGTTTTATTTTATTACAAGTAATGATGTTTTATTTTATTACAAGTAATGATTTATTACAAGTAAAGTTATTAAATTTCACTTGTTAAAATTGAAAATATACTAAAATTATATAATTTTAGTTTTATACTTACACTACAAGTTTCTGCTTGAACATAGGACAGTCAAGAGTGAAAGTTTCAAACTCCCCACCTTCTCCACAAATATTAAGTCCAAATTTCTTATTCTGTATTCAAATATAAATTTAAAAAATTAAGCATATTTCTTATATATAGTAAAACACAGCCAATTGTATTTTTCCAATAAAATAATAAAAATCTATGATGGTTTAATATAGCTCTGATTTGTAAAAAATATCTTTTCTTCTATAAAACAACATATTTTCTATGTGATTTTCTCAAAAGCTATCTTCAATAAATTAGTAATAAAACATTTTTATTTACACCTCTGAAGAGGAATTGTGTATTATATTCTAAAAGTAATTTCATTTGTCTGCAAAGTATTGCAGTGATCTAATTAATAAATACTGCATACTTCAGTCAATGGGCTTGAATTCTAAAGCAAACTTTTCAAAGACAATTGCTTCAATCTGTGAAAGATTTAAGCAATACACTCAGTTCACTTTGACAAAGTTTGATTGAAAGTATCCTATGGACCAACAACCAATACATTGTACAACTGTGTAAAGTCATTAGTTTTATTTCAAGCAGAAAACATACGAAACCAGCAATGCCCTTGCTGAATTCAAATTTTGGCCTCTCTGACTGCCAGCCAGACATGCTTCCAGTTACACCATAATAAGGCACATAATAAGGAGGGAGAAAATACTTTACATTCTTCCTCACTTGACTAGAAAGGAGGGGTGCGAACTGCCAAATCTTGGTGGTGACAAACAAATACCATCCACCACCTTTTTAGTTCAGTTGCCACCATACAGTTATTTTGGTTTGTCAAAGCAGGAATCATCAAGTATTCAATGCTCAAACTTTCAAGTTTTTCAACAAACCAAAATTTAAACTCCAGATTTACATGCTGGACATGCTTTCAATTACACCATGAAGACATCCAGTAAGGAAGGAGAAAATACCTTACATTCTTCTCCACTTAAAAGGAAACTGGAAAGATTGGTACTTAGTCATCATATATTAGTGCTCATGAATTATCATCTACCACCTTTTAGTTCAGCCACTACTTGTAGAATCATTACATTGGTTAAAGAAAGAAACATGAAAAATGAATTATGCCCTCTTTGGGATTTGAACTCTGAACCTATCAGGTTCAATGCTCCTTCTAACCTTCTTCGGGAACATACAAGGACCTGACTCGGAACAGAGAGCTTACTAAAGCTATGTTCACTAATTGTGGTAAGTAGACAGGATACAGACGAAGGGTATACAAAACCCTTTATTTTTCTCTATATACAATAACTTCCGTACTTCGGAATACACTGACCCTCCACTCGGGGTCTAACGTAAAAAAGTATAAAAATAAAACTAAACTCTAATTTAACTTTAGAATAATACACGTGGAAGATTGGCCTTATAATAACAGGAAGCGTATGTAGCACAGAGACTGTGAACACTACAATACGTTTAATTTATCAAGAGGATTAAAACCTCTGGCCTGGAAGGCAAATAGCAACTGCGTAACTTCTAAGGTAAGCGGCCTGCTTCGAACTCACTGCTTCCTCTCTCTTTCGCTTGGCAAAAAGGCCACACTTAAATACTTGGCGTTCGCCAGACAAACTTTGCATAAAAACCTTCACGCTTATAATTCTGGCCGGAAGTAGAAAATAAGAAGTGATAGTAAAGATTTAAAATAAAATAAACGTTAGTAAAACTTAAGATCCTTACATACTTCCCGCCAGAGTTAATTAGTTTGAAACTGAGGTCTAAAACGACCTTGTTGAAAACTTTTAGCTCTAGAATCTAACGCGAGGCCAACCTTTTACAACCATAACTTAACTAGAAACTAGAAAATTTAAAAGAAAGAAATTTGTTACAATAGCAGCTCCCAGGATATACAACAATCTTTTTTTCATCTGTACTGCATCTAAACAGGAGCTTTATTCAATTCTGGTTCCTTCCAGAGATCTGGAAGGAAAACTAGTTTAATGAAATGTTACACAATGACATTGCAAATAACATATAGAAATACTTCTCTTAACATTCTTATTTCATTCATGACTATTTTAATTATCTCTCCCCGTGCTCTCTGACATGTGTTGTAAAAGAACACCAAACACGAATGTGTTTCTGTCTACGTGTGCCACACTTCCTCCTACAATCAAAACACTAACGTGTTAAAATTCAACATAACGAGACCTCTTAACACACCCTAATTTCAACTCTAAACCCTGAGGTACTATTCTAAAGTGGCTAACTCTAAAGTGTAGCGTCAGAGAGCCTAACTACATCATTCAACCTTTAACCACATATTCGCCATGATTTAATCTTTACAGTCACACGAATAACAAATTTTTAACATTACTTTCACTTTTACCATATCACGGTATTTCTTAACATTTAAAATAACAGTTCACATGTATATAAGAACATATCAACATGCCGTTAATTTTACACATTTGAAAAACATACATTAGTAGTACATTGTTAACTTCTATTCTTTTCAAAGCAAGTGCCAATTCTTTCTACATTGAAATAATACTACATTTCAAAAAGTCTTTCAGACTAAAACTTCTTTCTTGCTAGAATGTTTTAAATAAAATTTATACAATAACTTTTTACAATATTTAAGTCTTTACACAACGCTATTATACATCAACTTTAGTTTTACGCGCGAGTAATTGAAAAACATAATAATAGAAAATCGGTCACAACTCATTTCTCGCCCTTTTGGCGATAAAGGTAGACCTCGCATGAGGTAAAACTTCTTGAAATCTGCCACTTGCAGTAAGAATGAAAGATTAACTTAAGTTTGCAAAGTAACATAAAATTTTACTTATCTTTGTAATATTCGGACATCCTTTTCTGGGCCCAGTCTTTAAAGGTACTGCAGATAGTAGCTTGGTTTATATCCTCCTTCTTGTACGGGCTCGCCCTTCAGTGCTTTCCTCTGGAAGCTTCCTTTTTTCACCAGTACGGCCACCCTTGAATACTTTTCCTTTTCTCCTCTGCTTGTGGTCTTTGGCCGTTTGATGGCAGCTGGTCTTGGCGGAACCGGGAAACTTCTGTCGTGATTCCTGCTTGGACCTCGTTGTTGGCCGTTCAAATTTTTCTTGTACTTTTCCCTCCGCCGCTGATGGCCCTTCCGCAGTTCGGCGACTTTTGCTGCGGAGAGTTCTGTCGGATGAGTAGATCTTCCGTTTTAAAGCCGGGTTATAGTTGCCGTCATTTCTCCTGGTCCTCTTCACATACGTCGTCCTTCTCCCTTCTTCATTCTGGGGGTGTTCGTGAACTCTGTTTTCTGGACGGTGGAACGGCTTCTTTTTCTTGTTACCTTCAATTTTTCCGCGGGGCAATTTTCTTTTCACTTGCTTCTGTCTCTCATTGGCTTGCCCTTGTACTTGTCGTTTTCCCCCACCTCTGGAACTTGTACCTGCGGTGTGTCTGCCGTGCCGGATCCTGCAAAAGATCTGAAAAGATTTGCATTTTATTACGATCGAAGTAGGGCTTGATTTGATCAATGTTTGCGGAACAGGTTTCACCATTTCTGGCTTTTAACACTACAACAGCGTGAGTTATTTTTTCTATAACATATGGTCCTTCAAATCGTGGAAAAAATTTGGCAGTTTTATCTTCTGGTGCTGAAGAAAGTGAATGCTTAATTTTTAAAACTTCATCCCCTACTTTATAAGTTACTCCCCGTCGTTTCAAATCATAATATAATTTCTGTTTTCTTTGTGCTACTTCCGTATTCTTTTTTGCTTCTTTTATTAGTTTTTCTATATCACCCATTTTAAATTCTGGGGCTCTTTGTTGCACATAAAATAATTTATCTAACGGTGTTATAATCTTTCTGCCTAGAAATAACTCAGCAGGAGTTTTGCCCGTTGTATCATGTTTTGCGGTCCTAAGGGCGAAAGCAAATTCATTGACATAGTTATCCCAGCTTTTATGAAAATTTTTAACATAACTACGGATAATTTTCACTATATTTCTGTTGACCCGTTCCGCTATATTTGATTGCGGCCGATACGGGACCATTTTTAAATGACGTATGCCCAGTTTTTGGCACATGTCTTCAAATATATTACTTACAAATTGAGGACCATTATCCGATATAACTTTTAGGGGCGCCCCGTATTTTAAAATATATTTATTTAAAATAGAATCAGGTAACTAATTTCGCGGAGGCTCGTTTTAAGGGAACAATTTCGGTCCATTTACTAAAATGATCAACCATAACAAGGAGATAGCGACTTTTATTTAACTGACTTTTTGGGAAAGGGCCCAATAAATCGATGCCAATTATTTCATTTGGAAATTCGGATTTAATACTATTTAGAAACCCGGCCGGGCGGAAATTAATATAATTAACTGCTTGACATGTTGGGCAGGACTGGACATACGCCCTTGTTAACTTTTGCAGTTCAGGAAAGTAGACTGCCTCGCGTACGCGTTGGATAGTTTTTCGAATACCAGCATGAGAAGCTAAAGGGCTGTCATGGAGCTCCTGCAGGATATTTAATCTAAGACTAGCTGGGATAACAGGTCGAAATTCGTTGTTGGAATTCGTAGTTTTTGTATAGAAATAATAGACCATCTATTAGTTCGTAATGGGCCGCCCTATTTCTTATCGCCACAATATCTTGGTGGCTAAAATTTTCAGGATCCTTCAAATACTCATAAATACTTCCAAACTCAGGATCCTTACCCAGTTCGGTTATTACAGTTTCTCGGGAATTTATTGTACACGCTGTAAGCATTGCAACTTTTACGGTATTACCCTGTTCGTCTAATTTTAATTCGTGATAGGGCATCTGCTACGATATTTTCCTTTCCGGGGGTATGCTTGATTACCAGATTATATTCTTGCAGCTTGAGTGCCCATCTTATTAACCTTGGGGATAAATTTTTCCCTGAGTACAATCTAGTTACCGCCGCATGATCAGAGTATACTGTTATCGGCGCCTTTCCAAAATAGACTCGGAACTTTTGCACTGCTAACAGAACTGCAAGTGCCTCTCTCTCGGTCGCGGAATAGTTTCTTTGTGTTTGATTTAAAGTTCGGCTAAAAAAATGCCACGGGCTGCTGATTTTGCGA